GAGTGTGAAGACGAAGAGAGGAGAGGAAGTTTTGTTCTTCGTCACGCACTGTGTAATGCTACAACCACTTCCGTTTCTCGAAATTTTTGGCTTTACGCGCATGTTAAGGAGGGTGACAGGTGACTGCCTCAACCGGTTGGATTTCTAATTTTATTGTTTTTCTCAAATCTATTCAAATTTAGGGAGTTTTATTTAATAGGAAATTAAAAGATTTTAAAAGATTAATACAAATCTGAGTGAATATATAGAAGCGTATGCATATTCAGTAAAAAAAATTAAAAACTTCATTGAGATCTGGGTGTATTTCTTCCGAATTTTAAAGTATTTTAAAAAATGAATGATTCAGAGGGATTTTATAGTGTCTTTTAGGCTTTAAAAAATCAACCCTCCCTCCCTAAGATTTCTAATTATTTGAATTAAAATTCACATAGAATCCACGAAGCTCTATTAAACTCCCTGAGTTTATAACACCTTTAAAATCTAAATTAAATACAAGCCCCTTATTTAAGAGGAGGATTCTCTCCCCTCCTAATCCTTATCCCCTTTTCTCTCTTCCTAATTAAACCATTATTATTAAGTTACGTCAACATCTTGTATTGAGTTTTTATAGAAAGAGAAAAACAAAAATAAACTATGAGAGGAGGGGTGGGTGGGAAGGAGATAAGAATGAGATGGGAAAGAATCTGAGATGAGAATAAGAGGGGAAATAATCTTACTGCCCTTATTTAGTCACCACCAATCTTTTCATTATACTGACCATTGATAAAAAAAATGATAGTCTTTTTTACATACCAAAAATCTATTATTTATGGAATTAACTAAACTTTTCATTTTGGTTCTTCAATTTCAAAATCAATCAATGTCGTTCTTAAATTAGTTAGTGCAAAATCAATTTGATTCCTCGTGTGTCTTGTGAACACACTAACATAATAACTAACATCATCATAATGGAATGACCAAATTGATTTACGGCAACTAAGTAAGCAAATTTCTTTGAATATTCAACCCAACATTTTATTAAAAAATATATATATGAATATCCTTAACGTTCAATTTAACGAGATGATGGGAACGTTCTTATATTATTTTGAATATTCGAATATTATTTTTAGTTTCCCTAAAAAGAAAATAATTGTAATCTTTAAAAAAAAAAACAAATTCGGAATATGTGTCTGATTTACCGGGTGCTGCCGGTGCGAATAGTATGTTCCCGTACAACTGGCCCACTAAGGCAAAATGCACGAGTTTCGGCGCCTCGCGCTAACATTCTCAAATCATCCTCTGCAAAAGCGTCCACATGCACAGATCCTTGTGCTGTATATATGCCATTTGTTTTAATTCCATCTCACACTACTGACTACATTTGATGATTTCTTAGCTGTTTAAAGTGAATCTTATCGTGTCGCCAGTTGTATATATTTATGATTTTATTATGTGATGATTGTGATAAACTCATATAAGTATAATCGACGATTGTTCAAAATTTCTCATTAATTGAATGAATTGTAGCCAACCGAACAAGAATAGATTTACGTATTACAAATCATGACCAACTAGCATTTCGTTTAGTAGTATTTACATGGATTTAGTTGAAGAAAAATTCAAGTTCGAGTCATGTTGATGAAAAAACTAATATAAATTTGTAATAAGTTTGATATCTAGTTATGACTAATTTGTTGTGAAAAGCAAAAATGCTACCCTTATCACATTTTCGAAATCAAATCTTTTGAATCTATTTTGTGTGGCTTATTGACACGTGTTAAGTTTATAACAACAACGTTAAGAAATTAAGTTTATTAACATGTGTCAATCAATGATAGAGATCAAAGAGTGACCACACACAATATGGGTGCAAAAGATTTGAGCTCACATTTTTCATACTACATTTGTACCGCCTCTCTATTAGAGATAAAATTCACATGTGTTAGTGGACCCTCTCTTTATTAGAAAGTTGATACATATGTCGTAAGAAAAATGTGATATGTGTAACATTACTCTGTAAAAAGCGATCGTGGTAAGTGAAAAATTTTAGTTGGTGTATTGAGATAATAATGATTGAGGAGAATATACCCAATTAGTGATGTAAATTGTAATTAAGTCGATAGTGTGGTTGGTTCTTGGTGAGAAAGCGATACAAGCATATATAAACATAGGGTGAGAATTGGTGAATGTGAGGTGGTTGTCTTTCCACTTTTTATTTATTGGTCCAAGTTTATGGTATCTTAAATTCTTAATCAATGAGGAGATTGAAATGTCTCTGTGAGTCTTCCGACTTCCGGAATGGATAGATAACAATGGCTTGTCACCAATTGTCCTTTTTTTTTAATCTTAATCATGATTAATGGGAAGTATTAGTGTCAATGGCAAACGTCTTTATAACTAACGTTTTAGTGGTAGAATACTTATCTTTGGATATATAATTAATGCTTTATTACAATAGTTAAAGAGAATTTCGAATCTACGACGAATGAATAGAAACCCAAAATACAAAAACTATTTTTAACATATAGTATAGATATATCAATAAAACGAACAGATGGACGTATTACATTATTAAGATATAATACAAAATTCAGCATTTAACAAAATTGTAACGTTTTGCACATGACATATGAAGCCGGTTGCTTGATCAAAATTTGTGCTAGGTCAATAGTCCAATTCGTACTTAAAACTCCATCTTCCATATGGACACTGAAATTCAACTCGGTGACAAAACTCTTGCTAAAACAAGAATATAAAACTTGGGCTGGGTTCCATTCAAAACCCTAGAAAAATAAATAAATAATTAATTAATTAGGGATTAGCCATGATCCATAAGTTAAGCAGAAACTAGCTAATTCCATCTTTCTTTCTTTTGTTGCAAGTTTTTGGATGCATTGATGCTGCCAAAAAGATTCATAACTGAAGAGAAAGGGTCAAATATTGCTAGAGAAATGCTAAGCGGATCCTCTTAAAAGTGAGATTCTTCATGAACTTTCTGCCAACTCATATTTTGGCAAAATATTTTATAATATTAGCACTGGATTGAAGTTAAGCAATGAGGTGTCAGAAAGTACATAAAAAGTCCTATTTTTTAAGAGAGTCTTTTTGACATTCTGAGCCCTTAAAAAAATAAAGGGCGAAGCCATAAATTCTCGAGGGGAGGGACGAAATTTAAAAAGTTTAGGGTCCCGAAAAAACATTCATTCGAGGTCTAAATCCAGGATTGCAAGAATAGTATTTGAACTACCCATAATATTCATAGGAGAATTTTCACTAACCGAAATGTTCAAAAGAGGATTTGGACTACTCAAAATAGTCGATGGAGGGTTTGAACAACAATATTATTTGGAGGATGATTTAGCACCATTTCTTGTTGTATCGTCCTATTACTTAACTATACAATTAGCAAAGTTTTAAAAGATGCTAAGCTCTTGTCGGACAGTGAACATGACTTTACACTTAGGCGAGGACCTAGGCAAATTTGAATAAATTTATTATATACCGTATAAATAATTGTCTATTTATTATGTACCATATAATATCCGAAAAACATTGATTATAAAACATATAATATAAAAATATTGACAAATTTTCTTTATTACTTTGTTGAATTTGATGGTAAGACAAGAAAAAAAAAACCAAATAATTACGAGTTCGTTACTTTACAAATTTTTTTTTGAAGCTTGTATAAATTTATAGTGAATTTTAAGTTAAATAACAATGTCAAACAAGTGGTTTAAAAAATACTGGAAGAGTGGCCAAATTAATTGATAATAATTAAAAAACAAAACAAACTCCAATATAAATTAGTAATAGTAAGTTAGGTGGCGCAAATTGATTGGCCAATAGTTAAAAAAGAAAAACAAATTGTAATTCTGAAGGGGCACATGGGGTGGGATGGGAGAGAGAGACTCTCTTCTTCCTTTCTCTTCTTCTTTGTCAGAACCTCTCCATTTTCAGAAGCTGAAAAATGCAAATCTTCATTCCTCCTTTCTTTGGCCTAGGTTTTTTTTTTTTGGAAAAAAAAAAGAGAGCTCACGATCAACATGTGTTGCGATAGAGCAAGGAAACCCAAAAGGCCAGAAAACCACATGAAATTTCATCACTTCCGACGAGACCGGAAGGACGGAACTACCGCTTCTGGGCTTGATTTCCGGAGAGGAGAGGGGCGACCATCATTCCTCGCCCTCAAGTAGCTTCACCACTGAAAACACCCAAAATAAGAAAAAAGAAGAAGAAAAATTAGGCCATGTTTTCCGAGAGAGGCCGGCTTCTCTCAAGCCAGCAGTCTTCTACTTCTAATTTCTCATGTTCTTAACAATTTGTAAACTTTTATCAGATTTATTTGAAAAAAAAATAGACCTAACGGTCGAATACCAAGCCAGTCAGGTACGTGTAGTGTTGGAGCAGTGGCATTCAATTAAAGTACCTAATGGGTCAATTGGATGTGGGCTCTTAATTCTATTCAAAGTTTAATCCTTTTCTAGTCGAACTAACAAGCATCGGATCAATTGGGCTTTTAGGGCCCAAAAAGTCAAATTCAATTGTTAAAGGAAACTTGTGATTAGTACAAAACGAATTTGGATCCTTTCCGAACCTTGATGTTTGGAATCTAAAAACTGGAAAATCAGGTCCCTTGTTTGCGTGTAGGTAGGCCAGCGGAATAAGTTAATAAAATCATTAGAATCAATCTGAGTAGTCCAGATTGGCAAGTCCTTGAGTTATAGACACTAAGATCCGGAGAGGATCTCTGTCTCTACAAAATGAACACACGGCAAATTACATCTACAACAAAATTAGCTTCACGAAAAACATAATGAAACTAAATTTGAGGGAAGAAACAAGTCAAATAATTGATATCTTTACGAATACTTCAGTGTAACACATTTGACTTAAACGTAATGAATCAAAATTTTGGAATCACCTTCAACCAAAACATCATGCACCACGGGCACGACGAATACCGTATTGTAATGGAAATTTGCATTTCTACTTTTCTTAAATACGCAGTATTCAAGTCGAGTAATTGAACGCATAACTTTATTAATTTATTCTTCTTGGAATCTAAATCGACTTGTATCGCTTAAGGGCATGCCTTTAACTACAAATTGAATGGCAACCCAATGAAAAAAAATAGCAAAAACACCACCAATGACGCACATTTTCGACATTTTGCTTGTCACAAAATTTGTGATTCCTTGGCAGCCAAGTGATGAATGACAGCTGGTGATGAAGGAGATGGTTTTGCTTGTGCTGCAAGAATTAAATTAACGTCCCTGATTAAATCTGGTCTAATGGGAAAGGATGAATGAAGGCTGAGTTGAGCTGCCAAATCTTGAGGGTAGCCTTGACATTCACTCCTGTTGCATTGTTGAACAAGAACAGCCTTGCTGCTCCATAGATTGCTTCTGTCGGGTAAACCCGCGATGAAATTACCGTCCTGCCCCCTTGCGCGTAGCTTTCCACGATCGAATGATCAACCTACACATTCAACTCCCAACAATTTAGAATCATCACCATTTTCAAGCTCCTTCTATCCTTTACAATTTGGCATGTATGCACAAATACGTTTTTTAATTAACGTGGAAGTAAGAATAACTCCTTCGAGGTGAGGAGCAAAGCGGTGTTCTTTGAAGTTTTACGCTAGTTAAGATCATATAATTTGGTAAGGAAAGAAATTCTCACCAACACTCTGGCAGAATAAGTTTCACCATCCAACACAGGAACTTCGCCTCCATAAACTTGTTTGAAGACTTCAGGAGCCTTGGAGGACCTGCATTACCAAGCACCATGTAAGATGTAACATAACAACAGACTGAAAGTTAGAGACGACATGACAACACTAATTGACATTCATTAAGATCAAAGTTAACCTCGATTCGTCGGCGCAGAAGTAAGTCGTGACGTCCCCATCGGTCGAGTTGGTAACTCGAAAATAAACCGGGGTTAACTCGGAAAGAGATTCATCTGCAATGACCAAAATGCCAAAGGGTCCGAATGTGCTCCTATCTACAGCACCATCACCACACCCTGAACTCCCATTCACGCTCTCCTCTGTGTCCAATAACTCGATTTCAAAGTCGACGAATATGTCCAACTGTCCACAGTTTAAGGCAAGAAAAATGTTATTGAGTAGCAAAAATTAAACATGTTATATGAACATGTTAAAGACGTTTAGCCCATTTTTTTTTTTTAGATTTTTAATCACTCGAGGGGTTTCAAGCAGTGCTCAGTTAGTCTCGAGCATTGCTCGAAGAGCCTGAAGTGACCAATTAATCTTCGAATGCTTGACAAACCTGTGTGGCAGTTCCAATATCAAGTGGCACAACTGTTCCTGCTTCAACCAAAACATCAGTAAATTCGGTACTGTTTAATCTCAAGTCTTCAATCTCCTCCACCGGCCATTGAAGCAAATTGGTTCCAGTTTTGCTATCAAACAACACCGTCCTCGGAATGGTCTGCAAAATATGGTCGCTAAAACTAAATAAGCGTGCATTATATAAAGAACTGTTCTTGACGTTCTAAAAAAAGTTATCATGCACCGATAAATATTGATTTGAGAAACGTCAAAGAAATGATCACGTACGTGAAGGGAAGCCCAACGTTTCTTCAAATCATCAGTCTCAGTGTCAGTTTCATTAATCCAACCCAACAAGATCCTTCTCTCCTTATTTTGATCATAAAATGTCTTTGATGCATAGTACCTTCCATAGTCATACTTCAACCCGATACCAACGTCGATAGTCGGGTCATCGGGTACCCATGTCTCATTCTCTATAAAATAAGTCCCAATTGCGTAATGATCCAATTTTGTGTCATCCAAACTAGCCTTCAGCACGTGCTTAACTCCGCCGTTGTTTACCGACGTGTCCAAACCCTTGGACCCGTTTATAGCAACCGGGTAAAAGTCCACGCACTCCCACATACCCGTACCCGGGACCTCATGCAAGACCCCATCATGGAGCTCATAGTTTATAAAATCAGTGGTGGTGTACACCATTGAAATTCCAGTTTTGTTGAATTTTGATCCAATGGTAGTTCGCCATTTGCCATCGGGACCAATCCACGCGGTTGTGGGGTCACGGAAATCAGTGGATCCGATCCCGGATGGCGGAGTTAAAATCGGATTACCTTCGTACTTGACCCAATCAAGTAAAAGGGGATCCGATAGGTTGGCAGGGTAGGCGAGGTTTTGTACTTGCACGGAATCATTGGTGCTGCCAGTGTACAACATTATGATTTGGCCGTCAGGGAGGAGGGTGGCGGACCCGGTCCACACTCCGTTCGCATCGAACCATCGATCGGGGACCATGGCGAGCGGGAGGTAGAGCCAGTGAATCATGTCCGTTGATACCGCATGGCCCCATGTGATGTTGCCCCACACAGCTGAGTCCGGGTTGTACTGGTAGAACAGGTGATACCATCCCTTGTGAAACAACGGCCCTACACAAACATAGAAGTTTAGCTAATTAAATTGTTAATAATTTTAGTAATTACAGTAAGACAATCCCAGACACCATGTGATGTCTGACTTGAGAAACACAATGGCCCCATCACATACACTGAACTTCGTCGTTCGTAAGTTTGAATGGCGAGTGCATTGTGTCTGCCACCGTTATTTGTGGACAGTACCAAATGACGGTGGCAGATGGGACATGTTGCTAAATTACTGAATAAATCACATCTACAAAATACCAAAAAATCACATCTAGAAAGAACTACATGTGGGTACATGTGTGCCACGTGGCTGGGTTTTGTTTACGTATTAGCTAGGCAAACACGGGCCCCTAACTGTCTACTAGTCCATTGTCCACCTTGATTGATTTGTCCACATTTCGCGACGGGTCGAATTTTTTTTTTGGTCAGGAATACGGTTGGAAACATCAAACGTTAAGTATAAGTGGTTAAGAAATTTAAAAAAGTTATAATCACTTTTGTTAGTTTACCGAATTAAGTTATCGTCACACAAAAAAACATTTTATTATAAAAGATAAATACACTAAACTAATCAACTAACCTAATTACGGTTTCTACAGAACATGTGAACCATTAGACACGATTAGATATCAATCAAATAATCCCATGCAATTTCCATAAGATCATATATTGTTTCATAACAAAAATAACATTACAATATGGTTAATTCTGATATTTATTAAAATAATCATAATTAATTATGTGATTAGGAATAAAAAAGGAAATGTTAAACAATACTAACAAAAAGAAAGTACAGAAGGAGTTTTGGTTTAAGAACTTACCATTCGGATCTGAAGTACAAGAAACCAGCATCCCCCACCAAAAGAACAAGATTTACACATTAAAACAAATTTGATTAGTCCAACATAATTAGGATTACAAAATTAAACAGTGAAATTCAAAAGAAGAAAGTCCAAAAGCGTATTTGGAATCAAGTCCAATTAAGAAAGCTAATCATGGACACAAATCTCACTAAACCATTGGTGTTACTCGAAAATAAATAAAAAAAATAAAAAATTAATAATGGAGAGAGCTTGTGATTAACAAAAATAAAAGTTAAAGCTGTAATTGCACCTACCATTTATCCAATTTTTTTCTGGCTGGAAATGGAATGCAGTTCTTTGCCAGGAAAACATGGCATTTGTCCAATTATATGAAGCTTCCTCTGAAAAATGAGGGTACGATTTGGCCGATACTCCTTCTAATTTTCCTCGAGGCACTGAAAACGACCTCGTCTCTGAACTGGTTGAAGCTGGCCTGTATTGGTGGTGGTGATCCGGTTGTTCTGGCACTGTTTTTGGCGGCGCCCCCGGTCCTTGGTGGATAACTAATGTGACAAATGACAAGAGAAATATGACGGAGGAGAATATCACGGCAAAACCCTTAAAGGGTCTCCGATGGGTCGGCGGAGGGACGGCGGCGGAGGGGTCTTCCCCCGGCAAGGGAGTGTAGGAAGTGTTGTTGGTGGTGTCCATGTTGTTTGGCGTCTCTCTCTGCAAGTGGAAATTGAGAGAGAGGTGAGTGAGAGAAAGAAATCATTTAAATGGGGTTTAAATAGAGGAGAGATTGTGAGGAATGAGCATGGAGACTGGGGACCTAAAGAGTGGATTGGTAGTCGTCCAATTTAGATGGAGAGAGAGAGAAATTTGAGGCGAGTACAAATGGATGAGAGATTTTGAAGTGAGATTGGAATATGGAATGGTACATCATATATTACTATATAAATGATAGGATATGTGTGCTAAAATGTTAATAACTTTAAAAATAAAATTTCTCATAATTTATATAAAAGCACGTGGTGTACTACCTGTATTCCGGTCACAATAAAATTTTTCTCTAAATGGACAATGGCTAAAGGACATTTTAGGAGAAATTTATTAGTATGCTAAGAACGTAGCCCAATATTCCAATTGTAATAATAAAATTAGTTCATTTTTAAATTTTCAATCAATTGTATTACTACGCTTAATATACTGGCGGAATTCATGGCACATGAAAAACCTCTCGATATTGAGTTGTATATATGCTCATGATCCAATCATCCAATCCTTATTTTATTTATTAATTTAGGGAAGGGTAAGAAAAAAAAACTGTGAATTTAAACTTGAGACCTCTTTCATTAAAGTGATGTTCAAAAAAAAGAAAAAAATAATTACCTTACGAAAATCCAAGAAACTTACGTGTGGTTTTGTCTGAGGAGTGAGCATCCTATGATCTTTCAATCACATTCGTTTATCATACATCATGCGGTTAGTTTTCGTCAGGTACTGTTTATATTCAATTTTAAATAAAAAAATTTACAATAATTTTGATCATATAATGTACGATGAACATATATAATTTAAGAATTTCTAAGATTCTCATAAAATATCATCCGACGAGAATCCTCACTCTTCTTGTCGGAGCACCAAATTTTCGAGCCAACAACATCCTAGAAATAGTTTGCAATCAAAGCAAATCTTCACGGTACAAAAGAATCGATGTGGTGTCGAATCAATGAAAGATTCTCTCGACAAAGTTTGTAAAAATTTGTATAATTAAACTAGAGCAAGTTTAGAAATCGATGTGTTGCGTCACTTACTGTCAATGGAGGGAGTATTTATGAATAAGAATCCTTTTCGGATTATTTTTGTGAGAATTCTAGGAATCCTTAAATAGTGTCCGTTCATCGTATATTATGCGGTTATAAAGTATTTTAAATATTTTTATATAAAATTAAACATAAACAGAACTTGACGAAAACTGACCACACTATGTACGATGAACGGACACGATTTGAAGATTTTGGAATCCTCACAAAGAAGATCTGCAAAGAATTCTCATTCGAGTATTTATATTTCAACTCTTTATTTTCGGCACATTAAAAAAATTCTTTATATAGAGACCGCCTCGTACATAGTGTGTTTGGATGAGGATTCGTGTCCTCGTGTGTGGAAAGAAGGTCTAGGGTTTACTAAAGGGAAGAATTAAAGGAATTAATTTTGTTTTAATATCGATAGATTGAAAAGTTATTCAATGAAATAATTATGTATATAGGACAGTAGAATATGAATTCTCCTCAGATGTGGACTCGATAAATTAGTTGGGCGTATGAAAATTAAACTGATTAGTTGGTCTTCCATATCTCCTTTCAAACTTTTTATTAGTTTTTTTTTTTCCTTCAATAAGATAGTTGGTTTGCTACCCACTCGTAGAGAATGCGGTGCCTTACTAAGAGCTGGTTTGGTATTGTTATGCTTTGAAAAAAAACTGCTGTGAGAATAAGCGGCTGTGCTGTGAGAATAAGCGGCTGTGAAATAAATCAGTAGAGTGTTTGATAAATTTTTTTGTAAAAGTGCTTTTAGAAAAAAAAAAAAAACAGTCTGATAGTAGGTCTTTTCATTAAAGGAGCACGGTAGCTCCGTGTGCTTTGAAAAAAAACCAGTTTTGCAAAGCTGCAAATAGCAGCTTCAACTTTTTCCTTTGATTTCAGCTTATTCTCACAGCAGCTTCCAAAATAAGCCTTTTTTCTCAGTTTACCAAACAGCTAAAACCCTCACAGCTTTTTTTCATAGGTATCATGGGTGCTTTTTTTTAAGCACCTCACTCCCAAACCCAACCTAACCCGAGTAACAAATGTATGAACGGAGACAGCTAAGGTTTAATGGGGGCAGCAACCCCAGTGGAGTTTTGTGAGGGAAAAAGAAATACGGTATTAAGAAGGTGCAAATAACATATTGATCATATTAATGAGTATAAATAAAAAGACATATGTAGCTTGAATATATCATAATTTTACTACTTTTTGCTTATATTCTTAAATAGCCCATTATTGAAAAAAAATTCCTACAGGTTGTGGCTTAATGAAGTTTGAGAAAGAAAAAAAAATGCAATGAAAGTATAAAGGATATTTTCTTATGATGAATTTTTTCTCAATAACTAGAGGTTAAGTTCACCACCACTAAAAGAAATTTTCAGCTCTGTTCATGAGCATAGTGTGTGGTTATTACGACCTCACACCCTGTACAGTGGTTTGTGAACAAATTTCAAAACATGTTTACCCACCTGGCTCGAACTTCACTATGACTAATCACTTTAATGATTTTCTTAGTTACAAGCCTACACTACTAAACTTGACTCCTTGAATAAGATAAAAACTCTGATAAGTTGTTTTAACTTTTTTTATTGTTTTCCTTCAATGTGGTCGGAAAATATAGTTCAAATAGTAACACTCTTAGGAATCATAATACAAATCGGATATGACTTTTAATATTTAATGATATGGACAATAAAAATCAAGGATGAAAATTGTACGTATTCTTTTCAACTATTTTTAGTCTTTGATTGTGAAGGTGTCAAACTCGGAAGTCTCTAACTTGGTTTCGTATATTTAAAAATACGACAAGAAATTGAGACGATCGTTTTGCAATGAGACGTGTAGATGGAGCCCAATGCCCATGACATGGTGTGGGCAAGACCAAGTAGGTAAAACTTGATTGTTTGCCCCATTCTTGTACTTCCAATCTCATACGATCTAATGATGTCTATATATTTAATATTGGAAAATGTTAGAGAGATTAATTATTTAAATTAAATTTTGTAAACCATATAACGCGGTTGTTAATGATTAAGTTATTACTTAAGCGTCGATTAACATGCTTATTTTGTATTAGTGACACATCACATGATTCACAAACTTGATATAAAATTTGGTTTATATAACATTACTCTTTAATACTTCATATTTTGAGAAGCAATTCACCAGTTTTTTACCTATTTTATGGGAAACTTTGCTATTAATGTTGTAGCATATTACATGAATTTTAACGTGGTAATTGGGAAGATCTCAAAGTCAAATTAATGCGACGTTAGTTTGATAGGAAAATGTTTTCTTTTTCCCTTCTACACATCTGTATTTATTTATGTCTTTAAATTTTCTATTCATTTATTCAATCTAAAAGCTAAAAAAACAAACATATAGCATGCATGAGAAGAAAAAACTAAAAGTGTGAAAATTATTCCTATTTGAGTATTCAGAAGAAAGTCGCGTGTCATTTGTTACAATTAAGCAAGATGGTACCCTATAATTTTATGAAACTTCAACTCAAAAAGCAAGTGTTATATCATTGCCATTTCATAACATGAGTAATGACTTTTTAATTAAATTAAAAATAAAAAAAATGATGAGATATAAGATTTATGTCTCATCTGATTAATTGTAATATTTTTTATTATCAATAAAATTTTCTCGTACTATTAAAATTTTCGGTGCAATGCTGAATGTTTATAGAAAAATGGATGAATAAAAGAAACAAAAACTCGAAACGATAATGAGAAACACTTGTCTGCTACAATTAAAAGAGGTATTGTCAAAGGGTCCACGTCAAAACGTGGCTACCAGAATATCACACAACACCCTCCGCATACGTGATAAATAAATCATGAAATGCCAAAAAAAAACAAATATTTGATAACAGATCATGTTATATCATGTGATTCATGTGTAATGTGGTGTGATTTGAAAGGGATGGTTACAGGTGCATGGGAAGATAAGGGATTTTATTCACAAAGTGAGATTAAAGGAAGAAAACTAAACCCGTCGATATGAGATAAAATTCGGAATTTTTTTTGGGCGGTATCGGGAAACTAAGTTACAATTTCAAAAATCGTATGTATATTTGTTCGTGTTTTGACCTCTATAAATAATTAAGACAAACTTAATCACAACCTCTTCCTCATCATACTTCTTCTATTTTCTTCTATCATATTTGCCTTATTTTTCTCTCTCTTCTTGTGTGCAACTCTATTGTGTGCACTATGCGCTCGATGAAATATCTTAGTTTACAAGTCTTTGCCATCTTCAATTACTCTATAGTATCCTGCATCTACTCTCGACAAGTCTCTACAAAATAATAGTAGTTGTCGACATATATTAGCATAAACTTTCGGTATATTGGCATGAGTTGGTTGATATGATGACCCCATTATTCAAAACTCTTAGCTCTGTCAAGGATTGGAATATAATAATATTGATATTTTCATACAAGTAGAAAAGTAATTGAAAGTTGCAATATCATTAGTATATTGATAAATTTTATAGGTTCAAGAACGGTTCAATATTAATATTACCGATATTGTTCCCAACTTAATCACCTCTTATTAGATGTTGGGTACAAAAAAACCTCGGTGATATTAGGAGTACAGAAACTCCAGTATATTAATTGATATTATTTTGTCATATGTCAATATATAATCTTATTCTCCAACACGTGTAAGTTGGGTAATGCTATCCACACATACTTTTACCTCTCACAGACCCCTCTCAATTTTTGAACGTCGGATCAAATGAAAAGAATAAAATTAATGGATAAAAATTAATAAGAGTGTGTGAGATCTAAAAAAAAAAGTGTGTGAATTCACACACCCTATAAATTATGATATTGAATTGTTGTACAAAAAGGATCATTAAATAATCGCACTCTAAAAAAAGTGCAGTTAATCGTATTGGAGAACATAGCTTCCAGTTCCTATGTACCATGATTTTCTAGTTTGTTGACTGCTTTTGTTGTTAGTCAATCGTTTTAGCAACAATATATTTATAAGTTTTCAACTTCTTTA